ATAAACAGTGGGTGAACTGACAGTACAAAAACAATATTTAAATAAGTGGCTTGACATTAAACTAAGTAGTCATAACACTGTGCTCTGACAGGAATTGCTTTCTCTGTTAAGATGCTTGCTATAGGAAAAATCAATAGCACCAAACATCACACGTCAATGCTCCTCTTACACTAGGTGCATGTTGTTTGATCAAATCAATACATACATGTACTGTATACATTCCACATTATGATAATAATACCCAATGAGCTTTGGTGAAAGAGATTCTGTGTAGGATGGAGTGAAATGTGAACTCATGTGAAGCAGATGACACAATGATATTGAGGCACAAATATACGTCTTTCACTGAAGTGTGCAGTTTAAAGGTGCATATGCATGCACATCAGTGAGGACAATTAATACAGTATATTCTATTCTAGGACATTTTAAATACACTGAAAAGAAAGTGCACTGATTAAGGATTTTTAAGATGCATAACACGAGATCTTGTGAAAGTATCTAAATGTAAAGTAAAAGGAAATCATATGATTTACATAAGCAAAATGGAGCTTTAAATAAGTATTGATTTAATCTTAAAAGCCTAAATAAGAACATAAAAATAGATAAAAGCAAAACATAATTACATTCATAAAGCCAGCTATGTAAATCAGAGATGTTGCCATAACCATGAACATACAGTACAAAGTAATGTCAAAGTCTCATCCTCATCTTACTCCCTAGAATGTGCTCAAATAAAGTCTCATGATCACGATAAGGACTTATAGCTAATGGAGGGACAGATGGATGAATAAATACAATCATATCTGTACTTGCATGATGTTATGGATAGAGAAGTTATGTCTTTATACTTCTCCAGTGCGGAATGTGCTTGGAAGATTGTCTTTTGGGTACCCTAATAGAGTGGTGCAGGTGTTCTGGGAGAGAAACCTGAAGTAAGGTCTGTGGTGTACCCAAACTGAAGAGATTTTCACATTTTGTTCTACCACATAAAATACAGTAATACCTCACTTGTGAATGTCCAAAACTCTTATGTAGTATAGAACAGCAGTTGCGGTGGTGGTGCGTATCCATGTGACTGTGATGTAGTTACACTGAACAAAAATATAAACGCAACACTTTTGTTTTTGCTCCCATTTTTCATGAGATGAACTCAAAGATCTAAAACATTTTCTATATACACAAAATAACCATTTCTCTCAAATATTGTTTACAAATCTGAAAAAATCTGTGATAGTGAGCACTTCTCCTTTGCCGAGATAATCCATCCCACCTCACAGGTGTGGCATATCAAGATGCTGATTAGACAGCATGATTATTGCACAGGTGTGCCTTAGAATGGCCACAATAAAAGGCCACTCTGAAACATGCATTTTTGCTTTATTGGGGGGGTCTGGGGGGGTCCGAAAACCAGTCAGTATCTGGTGTGGGTGATGGTTCAGGATTAGGTTACGGGTTAAGGGTTAGGGTAATGTTTGAATCGAGAAGGCCCTGTGTTCGTCGTCCATAACATACGCCTGCCCATACCACAACCCCACCACCACCATGGGCCACTCGATTCACAACATTACCCTAACCCTTATCTCGGCAAAGGAGAAGTGCTCACTATCACAGATTTTTTCAGATTTGTGAACAATATTTGAGAGAAATGGTTATTTTGTGTATATAGAAAATGTTTTAGATCTTTGACTTCATCTCATGAAAAATGGGAGCAAAAACAGAAGTGTTGTGTTTATATTTTTGTTCAGTGTAGTTTGTAGCCTAACGTTAGCTTTTTGCTTCTGGTGATTCCTTAACATTTTTAAAAATGGTGTGATTATGTGGAGTTAATATGTTTTGCTAAACAAAATGTGTAAGTATCTTAAATGTTTGTTTGCCAAAGATCTTTTTTTCTACTGTTTTCAGAAGTCGAATTGAAAAATCCCATTGCTTTTTGTTGATAGAACCCTTGCGACACAAACTTCTGGGTAGGGTCTACAAAAATACGTCATCACTGCACCACTCTATTTGGGTTTTATGCGTCAATTCATTCCTTAAAATAAACAAAACTCATCTAGTGAGTTTACTGTAGTGGCAGAGCAACAATGAAACATACAAAGCATCACATGACATTACACAACAGATAACCTGTGTGGGCAAGTGTGAGTGTACACCTCTGTTGATACAGATTTGGATTTGTGATAACAAACACAGATCTTGGTCAGTGATAAAGCAAATATCCATTCATCCATTTACTGCCATTAATCCCTTACGGCTCAGAAAGGTAATTCAGAGGTCCCTCTTCCCATCAAAGTCTTCTAGCCCCTCCATAGGAATCTTTGGGCAATCCTGAGAATGTCTCTATCCCAGGAGGCATACTTATCAGAAAACCGAACCAACTGGCTCCTTTCGACGCAAAGGTTCAAGGCTCTAATCTGCGCTTCCGTTAAATGTATGAGCTCCTGAATCTCTCAACTTGATTCAGATGTTATCGGCCCGTTAGATTAGTGTTATCAGTAGTATCAGCTACATTGTTCGGTACCACTTTACAATAAGACTAGCCTTATAAAGGATTCATAAAGGGTTTATAATTAGGTTATTAATTAGGTTGTAAACACTTTATTAATCATTAAGAACCATTTATAAACCAGTTCTAACTTAGTTTTCATACATCGACACAGGCTCACTATTTAGCAAGATGACTAAGCCTTATATTGGCTACCTAGCTTACTTCGTCTTCTTCATCAGCCAGCATCCTTGGTATCTGTTGTTCACTGAGTTGATTCCATCTTGATGTTTCTTGGCATCTCTTTATGAGTAACTAACATTTATAACTGCCAAAAGGGAGCCTTGTAAAGTGCTAGCAGCTCCGTGAAGCTACAGGGGCTCTGCCTGCTCAGCTCATCCGAGGAACATAACTTGAACTCGGCCGTGTTTGTTGTACTGGTGCCTTGTGGACTATAATTCATGTTTATATTGTACTATTGTGAATCGCTCCATGTTTAAAACAGACGGTGCAGAATGCAGTTTTACGGTAAGTGAAATTCACGTACTTTATTTATCCNAAAACAGTACGGTGCAGAATGCAGTTT